CAAGTTTCATAATAGGTTAATTCACTCTAATTTTTAAGCTAACGGCTTAAAACTTGAACTGCTGAGCGTAAATTTGGTATGTTGCTCGTTTGTAAAACGGAGACAACGCATGCGGGTGTGGCGTCCTCTTAAGCTTGAATTCAACGATGAAAAATCATTGTATACGAAAAACGATTCTGAGAGAAGACGGTCTGTAAGTATAGTAAGTATTAGTACTACGCAGTAGATTAAATTCATTAAAGAAAAAGTTATTTAAAAAGTCATTGAGGGCATAAAATATAATAATATACTTTAAAAGTTTCAAGTACCCACGAATAATATTTTTAATTTACAACAAAATAACATCAATCATTATTCTTGGTAATTTAATCTTTAATTTAGTTCACATTTGAACATAAAAAATCTGTGATGGTATTTTTTTGATTTTTTAATAACAGAATAACCTATTTGCTTGGAACTTTGTTTTGAATTTTCAATTCTAACCTACAAAAGTTGAATATTTCAAAAATTTTAAATTATAAAATTATTTGTACATTTCAAATGATTTTGTTAAAATTCAAACTTTAAATACTCATAAAAAATATTGTGCCTATGCAATTTAAATATTTTTCAACTAATATTGTAAATATCTATCAAGAGCATTTTATTGGATTTTCAAGCTTTTTTGCCCAATAAATACAATTTTATTAACAATTATAAAAAAACAATACTAAAAAAATTCAAAATTCAAATTGTTTGTAAACAGCTCAAAACGAGTACATCAAAAGTACCTATATGAATTGAAAATATAAAAAAATGGTGTGAATTTCAAATATATGCAATTATTGGGTTTTCAGTTACAAAAAAATAAGTAAAAATCACTATATGAGAAATGGAGTGAATATTCAATGTTGTCAAAATGTCAACTTTAAATGATCATAAAAATTTAATTTGACTTTCCTGTAGAATTTTTTTTTTTTTTGATAAAAGTAGACACACTTATAAGGAATCTTGTATTAAGTTTTAAAAACTTAGATATAAAACGAAACATTTTTATCAATTCTGATTCAAAAGCTTATAAAAATGTGTTGTCGAAATTGTAAGGTTTATAGAAAACGCCGATAAATATTCAGTAAAAATTTCATGTTTATCCACGGTTTTTTTTTTTAGAGTTACATCAAAAACCAATATCGATTTGGTCAAACCAGGTTTCTGTAAAAATTCACTTTTTCCTTAATTTTTTGTTTTTTTTTTCCTGCCGCTTTTGAAAACTATAGAGAAATTTTTTATTTGGACCCATCAAACTACCAATACTATTTACATTTCTAACAGAAAAGATGCTGTTGAAGAAAATCGAAGCAATTTTACTCTCCCAAAATAACTTAAAGACAGGAACAAAAAAAAATTAAAAAATAAACTGTAAAATCAATAGACTCATCGCTCCGCTCGAAATTTTAAAGAAGTAAAGAGTTAAAATTAAAATAACTTTAATTTTTTAACTCGTACACACTTAGGTTTGAATAACTACAAAATTGTAGGATATTTGAACTCCTGTGTCTATATATTACACAATATTATATAAAGATACCTTTGCTAGTATAAAAGTATAATTTTCATAATCACTCGTACGGAGTGATTACTGGTTAGGATAGTGAGTTGACCACTCTGTGAACATTTTTGTTTTTTAGATACAACTATAATATAATGTAATATTAATATATAATATTATATAATAGAACAATGAAATTCTATAACCCTAAATTAATAGTGTACTGCAACTGCTAACTATGGATTTAAAAAATATTACAAGTTCTAAATTAAAATTGTGTCTTATGAGTAATCACTTATAACGGGTATTTCTAAATTAAACCAATATAATGTATGTCTATTTCAAGTACTTAAAAATAGGTTATAATTATTAAATTACCCTACGATCAGGGAGCAGAAAAACGACGACGACGAGCGGCGTTTTCATTTTATTTGATCTCTCGTATTTTATGCATTTACTCTCGGAAATAAAATATGTGCTACATAGGGTAGCATATTTTTCATAAAATTAAATTTTTATTTGAAGTATAAAAAGTAAATTTAACCACCAAAAAAATATGAAACCAAAATTAATTACTTTAAACATCGACGCTTTCGGGCTTCAGCGGAATCCCTGATTATTGTGTGTGCACTGCGGAATAAATCAGATACCTATGACTGAACTTAAGTTTTGCTTTGCTAAATGAAATTTTAGATCGATTACGTCTTTGCAACTACTTAGACAATCGCCACGGATTACATTATAATTTATACTACGTCAATATGATAAAACCATAGATAGCTATTATATTACAAATTTTTATATCAAAGAGGTCCGTGTTTGAGATTTGATCATTAAGATAATGAAATGAGGTATACCTATATCAATAACCAAAATAGTTTAAAATTTTAAAATTTAAATTACAACAATATATAAAGTACCTATTATTTTAATTTTTAATTTAATAATTATACACAAAGACTTAGGTATTAAAACACTAGAGGAAGAAGCTGCTATTTTCTATAAACGATTCTATAATAAATTAGAAAACCATGTAAACCCTTTAATAAAAGTCTCACATATCCCGTCACATCCTGGAAATCCCCGTCGCAGGCTGAAAAGGAAATGGTGTAGGGATCATCTAACTTAATCCTAATAAGTTGTAAGTAATCACAAATAAACAAGCTAAGAACTACCGATGGGTGGCTTCTTACTCACGTAACCCCTTAATGCTTGTTACCCCAATCTCACATATACTCATTGTGCTTAACTGTAAAGATTGTATATTTCTTGTAAAAATAAAAAAAATAAGAAAATTTAATAATTGATAAAGGTGGTGTTTAAATATTCGAAGTACAAACATTTTTTTTATGTGTTATTAAATAAAAATCTTATTTTAACTAAATGTGATTTCTACTTTTTAGATTTAACATAACGGTATTCAGTATTCTAATACATAATATTTACCGTATATCGACTAACCGCAACTATAATTTGTAAAATTCCAAGTTAAATCATTTCTCTGAATGCTGTCGAGCACGAAATTAATAATTAATATTTTATGTATTCATTTTGAGTGCATTGGTTAGGTATATTTTAAGCTATTCGAGAATATTTAAAATTTAAAATATCCTTATTTAATTTCAAATAGATATTCAATAATCAGCAGAGCGACTTTCCCAGCTTTATAAAATAATTTGATGTATGATGTACGACGGCGTCGCTTTAATTCGCGGTTCGACCACAAGCAGACGGCATAGTAATATTCATATATTATTTAACATTTATATAAACTAAAAATAAAAATTGTTGAATTTTGCAGGACATAAAAACTCCCGTGTACTACTGTAATATGACTAGTATGTACAACAATATTTATATATATTTAATTTTATAAATATGTTAATATTCTGCGACCTGGATATGGATATGCCGTCGTCGTTTGTGATATCGTATTTTTTTGTGTTGCACGCTCGGGAACAAAAAATATGCCCCTACTTCACACGAGTAGCAAATCAAATTTTAATTTTGAAACTAAAAAGTAAAATATTTAAGCCCCAAAAGAATAAGTAATCAAACTTACGTATACATAGATTGTATATAATAATATAAAGCTGCAAGGCGCCATATCGAGGAACATCTTACTTCATCGAAATCCAAATTGAAAAAATCGAGATTTTTTACAAAAATTACTTGAGTAGAATGAAAAAGGTGAGTAAATGTTTATAGTTGCCATACACATTTCTTTTTTGTTCAATGAAATTATTAGAATTGCGAATCGTCTCCGGTGAGTGACGACGATCTGCTATTGCCATAGATGATAGGTATTATAATATAATATGTTGTCATCAGTTTTCGAGTTTTTGACTTCTTTGGATTACACGATACATTTTTTTTTCAAAATCCGAAACAGAATATTATTGGAAGTGTTTAAATCTATACAATGCAGAACACGGCACTCTGAGTATAGGCCATTTAGATTTTTAGATACACTACTGTCGCAAGTCAATTTTTACGTCCATTATCTAACAATATTGTTTTTAGTCTAAACGGTTAAACTATAACTTAACATAAAACTTTAGAAGTGTCGAGACTTGAAAAAAATTCAAAATTAGGCTTTGAAATGTATAATATTATATTTTAGTGATATTTAAGCAAAATCTTCAGCTTAACACTTTTCTTCGTACAAATAATAACTTTTATCATATATGTTATCCAGAATTTGTCTCCTAAAACTATATCCGCAAGAATATTGTTCATGTGCTGGCATGGCTCTAAACAATTGGTATAAATATGAACAACAGAAGACCCGTTTGAACTGAAAACCACAAAATACTAAATTAATTTTATAGACTTCAATAAGAAATTCATAGATTCTTAACAAATAAAAAAACCTACATAATATTACATAGTATATTTTGATCTTTTTTTTTATTATTATTTTCTCGCTTGTTTACCTACAATGGGCTATACAAGAAGTTAATTTATAAGTCCACTTTTAAGCCTTGTACCAATTACAGTAATAACTGATAACCTAACACAGTCAATCAAGAGAACAAGATTATTAAATTTGATAAACCTATCTATATTGGTAAATATACTTTACATTTTTATGTTCAACATTTACTATATTTTGTTTAGGATTTTGTGTGCTCGATGTTTCCCAAGACAAAAATGTATGACTAACACTATAACGTGACGCAGTGACAATATATGGGGACAAAATTAGGTTTATGTATACTGATCATTGTTGTAAAAAATACTTTACTAATAAAGTATTTAAAATACCACAGAAATACTATTTATAGTAAAGTATTTGAAATAATTTTCAAATACAAAACGAAAAAATCAATTTAATTCTGAAACATTCATAATATATTATATTGATCAAACATTTAAGTGTTGCATTTTAAGAACATAATTTGTTCAAAATGTTGATTCATCATATTTGTTCTTTTTTTGAATTGTTGCACCAAGAACACTAAACACTCTCTACTGATGCACTGCTAGGTAGTTGAGTATTGTACTTCACAAGGTACCTGAAAATTAAGTACAAATGTTTTTTTAATATTACTACTAATAGAATAAGAAGTTTTCAACTAATCTTACTTTTTTGATAGTGGGTAAATTATGCAAACATTCTAAAGACTTTGTTGGAGATGTGCCCAAAAATCCATCTATTTCATCACTAACTGTTGATTTTTCCTCTCGGGAATTTAGTGACCAGGTAAAAAAGGTAGATAAATTATCTTTCATTTGGTTATCTTCTACATCATTGTTGTCATTATCATTGGTATATAAGTCATAACAGGCACTTTTTAAATATTCTGAGGCCAATTGTTTTTTATAACAATTTTAATCCATACTTTTTTAAATAGTGGGTGGCAGACTGCAGCAGTAATTAAAAATTTGTCTATCAAATAATCTTTGTTTTCATACCTAAAAAACAAAAATTATTATCATTTAAGTTTTAGCTCATGAGTATAAAAATGTACTACACAGAAATTTAAATATAAATAATAGATCAGCTGATTAAATTTTACATTATACATCAGTAAGACTGTAAGAATTAAGAAATTCTATATATTTACTACTTAGTAAATAGTATTTACCAAAAAAGTAAACCAAAAACAGCTAAAACGAAAAGAAATTAAATGTGTACAATTTAAGTATGTACTTGGCTAAATAAGATTAATGTATTTAAAAAATATTAATTATTACATACCATTAAGTATGGCAGTCACCAGAAGTTTCATATACAGTAGATTCCGCTTAATGTGGGCACGTTAGGTCCATCCCTGTTTGCCCACATTAAGCGGTTGCCCATAAAAACCGAAATTAGTAAAAAAAGTTTTTATTTGTATTATCATATGTGTAATTGAAAAAATTTTGAATAATTACTAGGTATACAAATAAAACTAAATACATATTATAATGTACTAAATAAAATTAATCTTTGGATGTAGAAGGTATACTTTGGATAAATACAATCTCATAGATATTCATCATCAACAGACTAAGAATAGGTCACACCAGAAGAACTCATGGTTACCAAATGTCCCGAGATGAACCCCCCTCAAGTATGACGTGCGGGGTCCAACTCACAATAAAACACATCCTCACTGAATGTTTTACATACCTCGATGCAAGGAACCGGAACATTTATTCGGTGACTTATATGACATACTTGGACCAGTCCTGCCATCACCTTACATATTCGTGTTCCTCCAGGTGACAGAATTGAACAAACTCATTTAACCATCTGAACGACACAACTTTAAAATTTAAACTCTTATTATTTAGTCTAGACATTTGTTATTATTAAACCTTTTATAGTGTCATACTTATTTGTAAAAAAAAAAAATGTATCTTACCCAATGGCCTAGTTGCCGAGAATGAAAAAAATCTCATAGATACGAAACCATCGACGAAACTCGATTAAATTAGTCCTTTTTGAATACATATGTGTGTATTCTAACGCTATGATAAAATAAAACTGCCCACATAAACTGAATCGAGTGTCCATATTAAGCGGTTTTATTTAACATCGTCGGTATACATTTGTATAAGGACCAGACATGTTTGACCACAATAAGCGGATGCCCATATTAACCGGTAGCCACATCAAGCAGAATCCACTGTAATTAGAAACTGTTTGATCACTTGTCATTAATTCATATTTATAAATTAATCCTTCAATTGTAGGTAGGAGATGACCAAAGTACATGTTAGTATCACCCTGGAGTAAATCCAAGCTTATTGAAATTGGCCCCACAATTGTATGATATTGACACATGAAATAAATATCACTTCTATTAAATCTGAAAATATTGTTCATAAAAAAGAGATATAAAATAATTAATAATTTTTTAAGATTTACAATTTACCTGTCAATAGTCAATTTGTCCATTATTAATCTAAACTAAAGTTCATTATTTTTAATTAATTTATTAAGCAGCACCACTGCACCACACAGTGAATTCCAACGTGTCTTGTTGGGTGTAATTAAATAAACACCAAGATTTTGTTTAAGTAAATCAGGTGACTTAGTTAAGCGACCTTCTTTGTTCCACAAAGCGGTAGACTTGGCAAAAGTGCTTCTTGACTGTTTTTTGTATGCAATATTCGACAAAGCTTTTTTTAGAGACCTAGAAAAAACAAGTTATACAAATAAATTATTTTATTTTGTATTTAATTTGTACAAATTTGTAATTAATAATAAAAAATTAAACAAACATAATTTATTGATATTTAAAATTGAAATTTGGGTATAAATAAAAGAAAATAGTTAATGCAAATCATATTAATACTTATATCTTAGAATATTTTTTTTCATATATTTTTATCATTTAAATTGAAAGAAAAATTTAATTTTTAAATGTATTACAACTCATACAAATTTGATTATGAGTATTAAGTGTTAAACCTACTACCTAATAGTTTTGTCTTAATCACTATACTTGCTCAAAATATATTATTTCCGATAAAAATATTTTTAGTATTTTATAATTTAACTATATTAGGTTATCTACTTAAATAAATGTTTAATTACCATTGTTGCTATTAAATTTATTGTGTGTGCACAACATCGATGGTGTTTTGGTAATGCATATGGCAAATCATAGTCTTCATCACTTAGAATGTTCAAGTTGAATGCGTCGATTTCTTCTAAATCATTAACAACTATATCGTTCACTAGCAATGTATCAGTATATAGTCATGTAGTCATTTAAATATCAACTACTTTTATTAATGCTGCAATTAAAAACTTTTTAATAGGTAAAACAAAAAATAAAAATGAACATTACACATTCTTACTTTGACTAGTTAAAAAATCTTCTAAAACTGGTTGTTTTAAAGAGCTACCAGGATTATGCTTCAATGATCCATCATTGAATCTCTTTAAACAGTTTTTGTTCGCTGCATAATCAATGTGATCAATTTTCTTTAATATAGTTGAATGTTGTGTCTGAATAAAATGAAATAATATAATCTTTTACTTAACATTATAAATTTTGATAAATAATTTACATTTTTTGATCACTGGCACAACTGGGATTTATTTTTGAGGGGGAGGGGGTTATTTATTTTATTTTATTTCATATGCACAAGAATACTGGGCCCCTCTGATATGACTCGTGTGGGGGCCCAGGAAAATACATAATATAGAATAATGAGATCTATGATACATCTTAAGCACTTGAAATTTGACTTTTAAAAAGCTGCGCCACTGTTTTTGATATATTTTTATTTTTTGTAATATATTAGGTATTTGTGTGGTATTTAAAATTAATTTAACACACAAGATATTAGATGGGTCAACTGTCATAGGCAGGTATGAAATTAACATTGTACTTACGCTTAAATGTTTTCTTATATTAGAGTTTGAACGTGAATCCACCTTGTAATACTTTGTATCGACACATCTTAAGCACTTCACTTTCAGCTTCTTATAGAAAAAATGATTCTCAATGACTCCTAATACTTTAAAATATTTTTGATAATTTGGCCAGGGTAAAATTGGTTATTCTAAATCTGCAACCTGGTCGACTTCGGTTGAAGAATCACAATTACTCATTGTATTACAATTTAAAATAATTTAAACAATGAAAACAAGAGTATACGGTTGATGCAATACAATTATTAACAATCTGTAGGAACGTCAAGCGGACAACAGGGAACACGATACAAATAATACGAACCCAAGTAATAAATATTACAATAGTGTAAAACAGCGTAGTGTGCTATTCATCAATATTGTAATAGTGTATAACTGATTGTGCGCTAATGACCAATAATTGGAAAAATTGGTTAAATGCGTATTCCGTTCACACAAAAATAATATTATTTTCTAATTTCTAATAAAATTATGAAAATAAGATAATACCATGTTCCACATATTATTATGGTGCTTTAGCCATATTCATTTATTTATAGCAGAATTAGTTATCAGTCAATATCAATGTTTATGTTTTATAATATATTTATAGCTTTTAATCACGGACGTACATAGGTCGCACCCGCATATCATGTTGTCTCCGTACACAGTTAGTACCAGTGTTGCCAGGTCTGGTGATTTATCACCAGATATGGTGATTTTTGATGCAACCTGGTGACTGGTGAAAAACTTTTGAAAATTATGTAAAATCTGGTGATTTTAGCCCATTAATGGTTTTATATATTTTATCGTTTTTAGCGTTGATTTTTTTTTTTTAATTATACCACAATTTACACCATCCCTGAATAATATACCTACAAAATGACAAATGTATTATGTAAATAAAAGGTGGGCGGGTGACAGGGGACGGCCCGCTAAAGGTGCCTCTGCCCTCTGTTATCATCAACACTCATAATCGAATGTTTTCAGTGCTATCAGTGGTTTTATTTATCGTCTTTATAAATTTATAATATCATTTCCCCCCAAAACATTGTAAACAAACAAAGTAATGGGCAATAGCAGCTAGTCAAACTGTCAAAGTTCACTATAGTTCGCCATCAGACGCCAAATCCCAATCTCCACATTTGGTATTTCGTGTCACTATGTAAGTATTTATTAAGTTAAAATGTTTTATTCTTCATACAATTACTTTATATGTATTTATTAATTTTAGGATGTCTGAATCCGATGGGTATAATACAGAAGAAGAGAAAAGGAGAAATTTGACAAAAAAGAGAAAACTAAATTATGATCACAAGTACAATACATTATGGGAAAATGAATACACATGGATATGTTCAAGTACAAAAGGCCCACATTTTTTCAAATGTAAAGGTTGTCGAAGTGACTACAAAGGAGGTATTGCATCTGTCAAAAAACACGAATCTACGTCAAAACATGAAAAAAGTATGTCCTGTTCAAAATTACCTTCCGTCCGTGATCTGGCAAGTACTAAAAATCATTTAGTTGCAAAAAAAAAAATAGAAATTGCTGAAATTAAAATAGCTTCATTTATAGCCGAACATAATATTTCTATTAATTCAGTTGATCATTTGGTTAAAATGTTATTGTCCTTAAAACTTAATGAAGATTCTTCAAAAATTACGTGCAATCGTACAAAATCAACAGCCATAATTAATAATGTTATCGGTTTAACTGATTTTGATAACATTATTAATGAAATGAAAACGAATAAATTTTCGTTAATGGTGGATGAATCCACTGATATTAGTTCCATTAAACATATTGCCCTAGTTGTAAGAATGAACATTGATTGGAATATAAAAGACAAGTTTTTAAACCTTATGCCTTTATCTGATGCCACTTCTAAAAATATGTATTTTGTTATCAAAAACTTTTTTATTGAGCACCAAATACCATATCAAACAAATATGATTGGTTTTGCTTCTGATGGAGCTAATTCTATGATGGGATTAAATAATTCGTTGAAAACATTACTTCAAAAAGATATACCAAAATTGTTTGTAATGAAGTGTGTGTGCCATTCATTAGCTCTGTGTGCAAATTATGCATGTACAAAACTTCCTGTTGAAGTAGAGACGTTAATCAGGGATATCTACAATTTTATGCACCAGAGTTATAAAAGGCAAACTGAATTTCAGGAATTCCAAATATTTTATGATTTAAAACCAAATAAGTTGTTACAACCATCACAGACTCGTTGGCTATCAGTCAATGCTGCTGTAAAACGTGTTATAGAGCAGTTTACAGCATTAAAGGCATACTTTACACTACAAAATTTTGAAAACGATAAGTTGGCTACCCATGCTTGTAAAAATATTTATAAATGTTTAAACAATCCAATTTTTAAACTTTATTTTGAATTTCTTGAATATATATTACCTGTTATAACTGATTTGAATGCTGAATTTCAATCAGAAAAACCGAAAGTATATCTTTTATACTCACGTATGGCTGAAACGTACAAATTCATCCTGAGCTGTTACATAAGAGACAATATTTTAAAATCTATTGACATAAGTGAACTACAATACAGAAATCCTGTTAATTTTAAACCAAATGAGGAAATTTATTTTGGACCTAAAGTAGCTGCAGCTTTATCCAATAATGTTTTAAATGCCATCGATAAATTGTTTTTTCAAACCAAATGTCTTGAATTTTACATTGAGTTGGCCAAACAAATATTTACAAGATTCCCATTTAACAGCAATGAAATGAAGATTTTAAAAGGAATGTCATTTCTTGACCCTAAAAATGTTGGTAACGTCGAATCATTAGGACCTATAGCACAGTATTTCAATAATTTAATACCTGATGTCAACAGTTTGGATAGAGAATGGCGATTGTTTAAATCAAGAGAATTAGCAGCTCCTTATAGTAAAGGTCAAGATATAAATAACTTTTGGAAAACAAACTTAAGTGTTACAAAAGGTGATGATGAGTTGTTATTTCCTATGTTAAATGAATTTTTTTCATATTTATTTGTACTACCGCATAGTAGTGCGTGTGTGGAAAGAGTTTTTAGTTGTATAAGTTTAAATAAAACTAAAACTAGAAATAGATTGTCTACAAAAACATTGTCTGGTTTATTACACTCTAAACAGTTGATAACAAGTTATGGTAATAATTGTTTTGACTATGATATAACTGATGACATGTTAAAAAAGCTCAATAATTCAATGTATACCTAAGTAATTCTATTATATATATAATATATAATTCTTAAATTATATTTGTTAAATGTTTAA